TCGAATGCAGGTGAATGACTGTGATGTGCGTTTTCAACTAGACAGTGCTGCGGATGTAAACACTATATGCAAACGGTATGTTCGGCGTGAACAGGTACGTGCATGCACGACAAAGATTCGCATGTTTAATGACAGTACTCTATGCCCTGAAGGTGAAGCAACGCTTAACGTACTGAATCCTAAGAGTGGAGAACAGCATAATGTAAGCTTTATTGTGGTCCCTAACAAGCTACAGTGCCTCCTAGGACTTACAACAATTACAAAGCTTGGATTTGTGACTGTGAATCAAGAAAAGTTCATTGGGAAGATTGAAACTACAAGTCAACCAGGAGATTTGGGTGAGGTTACTCTAACTATTGACCCCGAGGTCAAACCCGGATTCCTGCCCTGTAGGAAAATACCCATCGCTCTTAAGGATCGTGTAAAGTCTGATCTTGACAACCTTGTTGAGAGAGGTATTCTGATACCAGTGACAAAGCCCACAGCCTGGGTCAGCCAGATGGCTGCAGTACACAAACCTAATGGCAAATTACGAATCTGCCTAGACCCTCAAGGTCTCAACTCTGCCATGCTGCGAGAAGGTTATGCCTTACCAACACTGGATGATGTACTACCTAAGCTATAAAATGCACGTGTATTCAGCAAATTGGATGCTAAAGAGGCTTTCTGGCATGTCCGTTTAGACGAACAGTCTAGTGAACTAACCACTATGATCACGCCTTTTGGTCGCTATCGATGGGCACGCCTACCATTTGGATTAAATGTATCCAGTGAAATTTTCCAACGCAAGTTAAACGAGGCTCTTGAAGGACTTGATGGAACATTCACCATTGCTGATGACATCATCATTGCAGGACAGGGAGAAACTGATGAGGAAGCACACCGGGATAATGACAGGAAACTGCAGGAGTTGTATAAACGTTGTGATAAAAGGAACATAGTGTTAAATGAAGAGAAGAAGGTGATAGGGCTGAAAGAAATCACTTTTCATGGTCACACCATCACAAATGAGGGGGTGAAAGCTGACCCCAAGAAAATTACAGCTATCATTGATATGCCAAGTCCTGTGGATGTTGCAGGTGTGAAAAGATTTTGTGGTATGATTCAATACATGGCGAGGTTCTTACCTTGTCTGTCAACAATGTTAGAACCAATGAGAGCTCTGACTCGCAAGGACACTGATTTTAACTGGTCATCAGCCTGTGAAGATGCATTCCGAGAGGTGAAACAGAAGCTCACAAGCGCCCCAATACTTTCATATTTTGACCCTGGGAAGGAAATATGGCTGCAGGTTGATAGTAGCAAAGATGGACTCGGTGCTGTTCTACTCCAAGATGGGAAACCCATTGAATATGCGTCTCGGTCTCTAAATCCCTCGCAACGCAAATGGGCACAGATTGAAAAGGAAGCTCTGGCTGTACTATACGGTGTAGAAAGATTTGACCAATCCACCTATGGACACAAGATCATAGTACAAAATGATCACAAACCTCTAGAGTACATTTTGAGGAAACCTACCAGCAGTGCTCCCCGTCGGTTGCAAGATATCACGTTAAACCTCTTAAGGTACGATATTGAGTTTAGATTCCTTAAAGGTGATAAACTTATCATTGCCGATACTTTGAGCAGAGCAACGGTCGCTGACCCATCTGAAAACCGTGATCGTATCATGTCAGTGAGCGTAAACGACAACCTAAGTGATAAGAGACTTACTGAGATAAGGGAGGCTACTCTGGAAGATGAAGATCTACAATGTCTGAAGAACAATATCCGGGCCGGATGGTCAGATGAAAAAAGGGATGTTGAGGACTGTTGCAAGCCCTATTTCGACATGAGAGACAATCTAAGCGTCTATGAAGAAATAATTGTAAACGGAGAGGCAATAGAAATCCCCAAGGCCTTACGAGCTGATGTGAAATCTCGACTACATAGTTCGCACACCGGCTATGACTCAATGATGCAGAGAGCGCGGGGTACCGTCTACTGGCCCCATATGAACTCTGACCTCAAACAACTAGCTGAAAGTTGTGAAGCCTGTCAGGAACTTAAACCGCGTACAACAAATACACTACTAAATCAACATGATGAAGGACAAGCCCCGTGGCAAAAGATTGGTTTGGAATTGTTTGAAATAAAGGACAAGCGCTACTTGGTCAGCATTGACTATTATAGTAACTTCATTGAGGTTGACCTCTTACAGAAAACTACTTCAACTGTGGTCATTGGCATCCTCAAGAAACAATTTGCGAGATTTGGCATCCCGAGGACCATAGTATCAGATGGTGGCCCCCAGTTCACCTCGAGTGAATTCAAGACATTTACCTCAAAGTGGTGTATTTTTCACCAGACCTCCTCACCTCACCACCAGCGAGCAAATGGTAAAGCAGAATCTGTGGTGAAGGTGATTAAAAACTTAATGATAAAATGTGAGCGGAACAGACAGGACCAATTCGAGGCTTTGATGGAGCTGCGGAATGTTCCTCGACAGGACACTGGACTGAGCCCTAACCAACTTATGTTTGGACGTCAAACGCGCACTTTGCTTCCAGCATGGAACCAGGAGGCAGGAATGAAAAGTGAAAAACGGGAAAAGCGGAAGAAATCGTGATTTGCCGAGATTAAAGCGTGAACAAAATGTGTATTTCGAACACAAACCGGAAGAGAGGTGGACACTCGGAAAGGTACTAGACGCCATTGGCGAGTACACATACAGAGTGCAAGCACAAAATGGTGCTACATACAGAAGAAATCGGGTTCATATCAGACCCACTCGTGTGGAAGCCGTGCACGACCCAGAAAAGACTGCTCCAAAAGTACATGTGGAAACACAATTAACGCGGCAGCCCAGTATCGCTGGACGTGAACACCGCCCAGTGCGCCAACGAAAAGAACCTGGCTATTTAAAAGACTTTCTTCGTTACTGATTTTCATATTTATTGTTTATAAGTTTATGTTAGTAGTTTCTAGGTAGCCAAGTGACAATCAAGGACTCTGTAAAAAGTGACATTCTATTTTGCTCTAGTGCCAATTTAAATTTATTTTAGGTTCATGAACACTGGTAAAAATCATTCATACATTTCCATTATGGTGAAAATTGACAGTTGATTAAGATATAATACAAACTGCATTTAAGCTTGTTAAAAGCAATGAATTTTATTACTCAATATTCTAGTCGTAAAAATTTGAGTCATTCATTGGTATGCTACACTATGTCAGTTTAATAATTTGTGTATGTCCATTTCATTTTGACACTGACAGTCATGTTCTTCTAAATAAGGGGGATGTTGATGATTGCGTTCCGTTAGTTTATATCATTCCTAACATTACATGTACCGACTGTGAAACCTCGTTATGAGATATAAACAGCTAAGATGGTAGTCCATGCTTGTTGTTGTCTTTGATCATGAGAACCCGTACCTATCTGTAAGAACTTGAAACGTTATCAACAATCTTGACGGCTGATACAGGGTAACAAGTTCCTGTAGGTACTGAGGAGCTGTTCCATTCAGTGCTTTGTATGTGTATACCAGAATTTTGTACTGCGACCTGTATCGTACAGGTAACCAGTGCAACGAATAAAGCGCAGATGTGATGTGCTCTCTCTTTCGAGTACGAGTAACTAGCCGTGCTGCAGTGTTCTGAACCCTCTGCAGACGACTTGTTAGTTTGTCAGATATACCACAGAGCAGGGCGTTACCATAATCCAACCGAGAGGTAACAAGTGAATGCACCAAAGTCTTGCCTGCATCTGCAGTTAGAAACTGCCGAATACAGCCGATGTTCCTGATCTATTAATGAATATAGGTGAATATTAATGAACTTGTGAATACGTACGTGATTATAGTTATTAAACTTTATTTATTTTACAACAATTAAGAAACACGTTATTTCAATTTGTAATAATCGTTCTTATTGGCCCGTATGTTAGCGTACGGGGTCTTAATATTGGAGGAAACTGAAGTGCAGAGAAAACCGACGCCGTCGAGTAGGTGACCTATACCTTTTCAAGTCCGATCGGGGAGTCGAACCCCGGCCGCCTTGGTTACAGGCATGTGTGCTATCAACTGCTCCAACTGATCAAAATCTGTTGTGGGAAGTGAGAATGACTCATTATCAAAGTTTATACATTAATTTAGATATTACCAAGGCACCGCATCCTCGATATCCAGGTACCGGTGTTACGCTCACTTTCGCTCTCTGCACCCCTAGCCATGGCATAGCAAACTCGA